GGTGGAAAAGAGGCTGGGCCCAAGATGGAGAGAGAGGGGGAAGAAACCAACTTAGTCACAAAGCCACTTCTGTGAAAATCTACCCTGTGTCTGGAAGAAAAGGCAGGGCAAGGAGTCCTGAGGCTGCACAGAGCTTCAGAGGTGCAGGACAAGCTGCTGTGTGGCCCTGGAGAGCAGTGAGGGGCTGTTCCAAGCTGCCTGTATCACCTCACCCAGCGCTGAGGGAGGAGCTGGGAACCGAGCGGGCGGCAGACGGAAGCTGGAAGAAAACCCCATTGCTGCCGGTGGAAAAACGAGACCTCCACACAGCTGCAGGAGCAGTTTTGTTGCTGATTGTTTTTACAAGGGGTTAGGCTAGGTTGATCATTAATATTAATGTCTCTGTAAATTATGCATATTATGCATTAGCATGAAGCATCCCCCAGTGATGCTTCCTGCATCGTTAGCCAGCTTCCCCCTGAGCACCCGCAGCCTCCTCACAGAATTGGTGGCTGCATGTCGAAATGGTGTTTTCTATTAAGAAAACAAAACTCAAAGCAAAAATGCAAACTGTCTGGCATGGGGAGCTGACCCCTTCCTGCCTGCAGAGAGCCAACTTCAGACAAGAGGGGCAAACCAACATCAACACCTGCCTGCACATGAGACAGAGTAGCCAAAGGTAGGATCCTTCTACCAGGTGGAGAGTAAAGGAAAGGGCCATCTTCTGCTCACCCATACTCTCCCCAGGATGGACAGATCCATAGCTCTAAGCTAGAGGCAACAATCCTATCACAGCCTAGATCTCGTCTTCCCTATCTCCTTCCCACATCTCTCTCTCTCTAGTTCTTTTCTCACGCCATGCTTGGCTCCTTGAATTCTGCTCCTGTCTCTCATTACTGCTTGTACAAGCCCAAATTGTATCTCCATATCATTATCAAGCCGTGCACCTGATTTTCTGGTACACTGTGTCCTCATCAAGAGGTAGCTCCTTGCAGCTCAGCGCTTCATTCGGTACAAGCCAGACAAATTGTATTGCAACGAGCAAAGCAACACTAAATCTTGTCTGTCATCTGCCACGTACGTCCCTTCCAACACCCTGCACAGCACCACGCATGTGGCGGACCGGGGGGGGCTGGACTGGCCAAAAATCGGCGGCCCTCCTCTCCCCAGCCACAAACACAGATTTGCTGCAGTTCGGAGCTGTGGGAGAGCTGCTGGGGCTGCTCCTCACACCCCACTGCAGAGCTTCAGCCCAACTACCAGGGCTGTGCCGCTCAGCTTGCCGAGCAACTGGGACTGGGAGCAGCAAAGGGAACTCCGCTCCTTCTCCTTCCCCTTCCCATCACGGCTGTGGTTGCGTCTCGGAGGGGCACCTGCAAAGGACCAGAACTAAGACACGCTATATGGAGAGCAACACACCGCGGGGGTGTCCCACCGACCCCCTGACCACATGAGGCCACCCTGCCGTTACACACCCTCTGAGACACCGCTTACACAAGCAAATCGGGTGCTGGGTGGAAGGACGCTTTCAAGGCACTTCCCAGCATCTCTATGGAAGCTGCCCCAGGTCACGCCACTCCTCCACACTTCTCTGGTTTCTCAGAGAGGGTGTTCAGGTAGCGGCTGGTGGAGCCGGAAGACCAGGCAC